CCCCCCGCCCCCCCCTCCGCGCGCCGCGCCCCCCCCCCCCCCTGCCCGTGTCCTGGGGGGGGGGGGGCAACCTGGACTAGAGGCGGGTAGTGGCGGTTGCGGCGGCGGCGACGATCGGGCGCCGCCCTCGCGCGCGCGCGGGGTTCGCGGCCCGTCGGAGTTCGAGAGGGGCCGCCCGCCGCGCCGAGGAGGGAGGTGGGGCAGGGCGCCCCTTCGCTTGGGGCAAGTGGGATCGATCGGGCGCTCCTATCGTCGCGCCGCACCCCCTCGCCCCCGAAACGTTCCCAATGTGTTGGGTTTTGCCCCCGGCGCAGGCCCCCCCTCGCCCGGCGGCTCAGAGGGGGCGCCCCGGGCTGGCCGCGGGCGCGAGGCCCGCGGCCCTGGATTTGCAGTCCGTCCGCAGGGGCCCAGAGCGTCGCGAGCCGCTGCTGCCTCTGGCAGACCTGCCCCCGGGACGCGTGCTTCTTTGCTTCCTCCTTCCCCTCCTCTTCCGTTGGTAACCCCGCGCATCCCCGCGGCGTTCTCGGCGCGCATGAAATGCGCGGGGGGGCGGGGGGGGGGCGCCGCGACTCAGCTCGAGATGCGCCTGGCGGGCGCTGCGGAAAGGACCACCGCGCAGCGAAGGTGGTGACGAGAATCGTAAAAAGAGCAGGCGCCCGCCAGCAGGTCCTCGAGGTAACCGCTGGCCTCGGCAAAGGAGGAACCCCAAATTTGTCAATCAAGTCTACGCCCCCACCTTTCAGAGGTAGCGCCGCCTCGGATGGCAAGGGGCAGTCAGTTGAACGTGCAAAGAGCGCCGCCGTGTGAGCGATGGCCCTTGTTTATCAGATGTTCAGCATGCGCGCCGTTTGGCGACGCCGTAAACAGGCTTCAACGAGAGAACAGTTGACCGCGGCAGTCGTCGCGGCGGGGTGAGACGAGAGGAGGGTCAGATATCACAAATGAGAGGGGCGAGAGCGAGCGCAGTTGCGTAGCTGCGCCAATCCAAGCGCCGCTGCAAGAGCGCGCAGCATGCGCCCAGCGGCGGGCGCGCGGGAAGGTTGCCCGCGCGCCCGCGGCTGGCGCGCAACAGAAGCCAGACTGCAAGCCCTTTTTCCGTTTTTCGTAAGCCCGCATGTTGGCACTTGGAGGCAGTAGCTGTGGCGCGGGCTAAATGTGGCACGAAAGGGGGTCGCAGCCTGTGCAGGCGCAGGCATGGTGAGCGCGCTGGCGAAGAGGGGCCTGCGAAGGCATGCCCGTGCATCGGAGCGCAAGAGTAGGGTATGGAGAAGCAGCGCTGGCTGGCCACGGGTGTAACCTTAGTCTTGTAGGACAAATCAAAGGAGGGCGTAGCTCGGCCAGCGCAGCGCCGCAGGCTTGCGCGCCCCGACCCCCCCTTAAGTAACCCGCGCCCCCGCCCCCCCCCCCAGTCCTCGCGCGCGCGGGCTGCGCGGCCAAGTGAAGCGGTGCAGGGCGCGCTGTGTAGGCTGGGTAGTGTGCAAGTGTCCCTCTGTGCCAGCAGTGGGCCCGCTCTTTTAGCCCGCAGTTGGCCCGCTCTTCGGCTCCTGGGCGGGCGGGCGGCGGCCGCCGCATTCGTGTTCGGAGTGAGCGGGGCAGGTATATGAGAATGGTGGGGAAAAAGCCGGTTGGGCACGCTGCGTAGGTCGGCGTGCGCAGGCTGGCCCGTAGGGTTAGGCGCGCGAGGTCGCGCGGGCCCGGCGTGGATTATTATTGCGGGCGTGGGTTATGTAGGCTGGCCTGCGTAGGCTGGCTTAGAGCACTATGAGACACGTGGCTTGGCAGTGAAATAATATGAATATAGCGTGTGTAGATGCGGGCTGGGCGAGTGCACTGGGTATAGCGGTGCCCGTTTGGGAAAAATCGAGCCCGTGCTAGTGCGGTAATATACAGTGGGGCCACTCCGTGGATGGGGATTCCAAGCGCGCGCGCAGTGGGCTGGTAGGTCCCCCCACCCCACCCCTCCTCAAGTAGCGCGCCCCCCCCGCCCCCATCCCGCCCCGCGAAGTGGAACCAGCGTGGCCCATTTGCGGAGTAGGCAACGGAGTGCAGGCAGTTAGCGCGCAGCGCGGCTGACAAGTTGAGCCGTAGCAAGGGGCGACATGCATCGCGTGCTCCACAGCGCGCGCGCGGGGGCAAGTTGCGCGCGCATCCGCGGCCGTGGAGCAAAGTGAAAGCCAGCCGGTGTGCGCTTCTCCTCCTAGGGATGCCTCTGCACAAAAAAAGGCTTTTTGGTTCTTCAGGACTGACAGGGGGTGCCTCTTGTATACGTGTGTCTATATTGTCCCACTGTGGTGGTAGCGCGGGTGCACGCTTTTTATGTATATGGGGGCCGTGCGCACGGTGGAGGTACAGTGGGCGGCGGTGGTTTGTGTTCTCGTTTGTTTTCCGCTGTTACGTGCTCTTCGCTTCGTTGGTGCTGTTGTTGTCGGTCTGTGTCGTGGTTATGATGCTGCTAGCCGTGGTGGTCGGGTTGCAGATATGTTGGCGCCGCCCAGCCGAATTTAATGCGTTCGTAGTATTTGTGGCAGGTGTTGAGCCAACGCGCGACCGTTTGTATTGCTGCGATATTGCTGGCCGTGCGCGGGGCGTGACCTCCAGCCAGAAGCGCTTGAAAGTGTGGTCTTGCCGTTGCCAGTTGAAGCCGACGTACTGCATTGTCACGGTAGTTGGCTGCGAGTGTTTCTAGATCGTTGCCATGCCGGGTGGATGTGATTTGTTTGGGTGGTTTAGGCACGGCTAGGAATGTGTCAGCGTGCAGTGCGTCTTTGAGCTTGAGCCTCTTGGTGGCTGTCGTGGGTGGAAGAGCGACTGTCGATAGTGGTGTTTCTCGCGTGTCAGGTCGGAGCGGTGGGTGTGGTAAGTGCTGTTCGCCGTCTTGGTGCGCGAACATTCGTTGTTGTATGTGTTGAGCTGTCCGTGCCATCCAGGTAGCAGAGGGTCGTCATTGGGAAGCCTGTGCGTGTATGTGTTGGACCTGTTCGTGGTAGTAAGCCGCGTAGTGCCATCAGTCGTCGTCGTCGTAGCCGTCGGTTTCTGTGTCGTTGGCGTGGTAGCAGTATGCTGCCCATCCGCTTGGGCAGTGCATGTCGTGATATTGGTTTGGTTTTGGGTGACGTGAGGTAGATTTCGTGTGCGTCTGAAGCTCGGCTCATCTTGGCCCATGGGTCGTCGTAGTCAATGCTTGCGTCGGAGTCTGTTGTGTCATAGATCAAGTCGGGTTTGCCTGCCCATGGGTTTGTCTGTGCTTTGCTGCTTGCCGGCGCAGTCGCGGTATGTTGCGTGGGTGGCGTTGGCGTTTGCGTTGGTGGAGGTGGTATACAGTCGTAGTTGACGTCGGGCGTTGTTTTGTTGCGTTTGTCCTCCTTGTTATGGAAGGTGAGGTTGGGGGGGGTAGGCTGCCGTGGTGGTCGCATCTGCATGTATCCTATGCATGTGTGTCCGTTTTTTCCAGGTGCTCGCAGTGTGCTCCTTCCAGGTCGTATTGTGTTGCTAGCTGCTGTTGTACGAAATCGTAGTGTGCGTGGTCAGCTGGGATGTCGGCTGGGAACTCGAAGCCGCCCGTTGGGTTGCTTGAGTGTGGGTTGTTGTCCCTGACAATGGGGTAGCACCATGGTCGTTGAGGTTGAATGTCTGTGGGGTTGTGTGTGTGGGGTTGTGTGTGGCGGGTGGTGCGGTCGTTAGGGGGGCAAGGTCTGTATGGGCGTCGGTAGAGAAGTGGCAGAACATGCCTGGCCAACGTGGGTTGTCCGACGAGGGCGCTGTTAGCTCGTACTGGGTTGGTGGTGTGCGTCCTTGGTGGTGGTCTGGTTTGACACGTGCTGTGCTAGTCCAGTGTTTGAGTAGGTCGCATTCGTATTGCGTCGCTTCTTCTTACTCCACGTAGTATGGTTGCTCGTGGTTAGCTGGTGGTGTAATGTGCCTCCTGTGCTTGTCTGTTATGCAGGTGTCCTCCTCCTCCTCGTCCTCCTCTTCCTCCGCTTCCTCCTCCACCTTGTCCTCCGTCTACTCCTCCTCCTCCTCCTCCTCCTCCTCCTCCTCCTCCTCCTCCTCCTCCTCCTCCTTCTCATCCCCCCCTCGATCGTTACGTGCGCCCTTTCGGTCCTGGGCCCGATGATAGGAAGTGCTCTTTCGATTCCTGGGCCCGGGATTGGCCTGGCCATGCCAGGTGCGAGTGAGCGCCATCTGCGTCGTCGCGCCCGGAGGCTGACGCTGGATTCGCGGCGCGGGCCAGGCCAGCAGCTTGGCGCAATGGCAGCGGCGGCGACGATGGCGACGACGCCGACGGCAGCTGCGACGACGACCCGACTCCGTCGCGACGCGATCAAAAGAACGGCGCAATGTTTCTGCCAGCTTTTGGTTTCTGGGGGCCTTTACTGGGCCACGTGGCGCCTGAGAGAACGACTCGGGGCCTCGAGCCGGTCCTGGGGAAGGGGTCGATGCTCTCTGGGGGTCCACGCTGTGAAGAGATCGCGATCACGTTGAGGGTTCTTGGGACGTGACACCGACGGCCTGGAGCGCACGGGGTGGCTATGGGCCGCCATTGGCCATGAGCCGTCATGTTTCGAGGGTTGCGTCTCTGCGCTCGGGCCGCGGGTCTCAGAGCTCCGGGGGCCTAAGGCTTGAGGGCCCGAGGGGAGCAGATCTTGAGGAGTCTGGCGGCGCTGGGGGCTTGGTCGGCCAACGACCATTTGGCGCCATCCCACCCTGCGACCCGCTGGATCGTAGGTGGGGTGGTGTCGTAGGTGGGTCGTAGTCGTAGTCGGTAAGTGCGTACACTCTCAACATCGTTGGGTCCTAGGTGGGGTGGTGGGGTTCGGTTCCTGGTGCAACTGGCCAGTCTTGGCAGCGCAGGGGGCTGGGTTCGAGGAGGGCGCTCGTGGCCACTCGCAGCCCGGCCCTCTCGGCTTCGCCGCCTCCTGCCTCCTCTCGGCCTCGGGCGCCGGGCGGCCTCCGGCTCCGCCTCCCCCCGCGGGCTCCCTTTGGAAGAGCCCGGCCCCCAGCGTCGGGGTTCTCCTCGACGTCGCCGCCCGCAGCGCCTGGGGCCCAGCCAGCCGCCCCGCTGCAGGGCCAGGCGCAGGGGCTGGGGATTTTCACAGACATCCCAAGCATTGCTCCCGCCCGCTGCTCCCTCCCCGTTTTTTCCTACCTGCTGCTCCCTCCTCCCTTCCTCCCTCCTTCCTTCCATTCCTTTTCTTCCCTCTCTCTCTTCCAGCTTCGTCCTCCTCGGCCGCTTCCCCCTCCTCCCTCTCTCCTCCTCCATACCTTCGTCTTTTGAGTAATACGTTCCTCCTTGTTGCGCCCCCAGGCGCGTTTTTAGGGCGTGCCAGGCGTTTCGCCTGAGACTTCTTTACCATTCATAGTCTTGTAGTTGGGAATTGCAGCAAGTTTATGCACAGATGATGGGCCGTTTCCAAACTGTTGTTTTCGTCTTAGCGCCGCGCGCATTCGTTTTAAAAGTTTGCATTCGTTTCGCGGATGGAGGGCGGGCCGTTTTCAAAATGTGGTTCTCGTCTTCGCGCCGCGCACATTCGTCCTAAAACTTTGCAGCAGTTCACGGATGGAGGGCGGGTGTTTTTTTTCACAATGCGGTTATCGTCTTGTCACCGACATTTGTCTTACAAGTTTGCAGCCATGTTTAATGATCCGTATGCTTGAACTCTCAGAAATTGTGTTCTGGTACGGTTGAGGACTGTCAGGACCGAAGAATCACGTTGATTCGCGATGTTGAATTCCAGGCAAATCGTTCTGATGCAGTCAAACATGTCAGGACGCAACAGTCAGTCACTTTCTTCAGCGGCGTCGAAGTCCCAGGATCGGTGTTTTACTGCAATAAACGAATATATATATATATATATATATATATATGCTATAGATAGATAGATAGATAGATAGATAGATAGATAGATAGATAGATATGTTAAGCGGCGTCCAGAGCCCTGCGGCCCGGGGTCGCACACTTTTCCCACACTTCCCCCCCCCCGTAACCGAATTTGCCCCCTGGGGTGCAGGGCCTTTTTTGGCATCCAGTGGCCCGTTTTCGGAGTGCCGGAACTTTTTTCGCTTCCCCGAGGCGTCCACCTAGGCTTCTGGGGACGACAAGAAGCCGCCAAGTCGGTTCAAGAACGTTCCAAGCCGCCCGAGATGGCCCCAGGATCGGCCCAAGAGGCCCCGAAGAGGCCCCAAGGTCGCTCCGCGAGGACCTCCAAGAGAGCCCCAAGACGTCAAAATCATTGATTTACATTGTGTGTTTCAGTATGTTTTGCTTTCTCACGTTTTCGAGCGGCCGAAACTCCAAGACTGCCCAAGAAGCCTCCAACGTGGCCCCAAGAGGCTCCCAAGAGGCCCCCTAGACAGCCCAAGAGGGCCGCATGATCGGCCCAAGAGGCCCCCAAGACGGCCCAAGAGGGACTGAAGAGGGCCTGACGACGGCTCCAAGATGGGCACAAGAGAGGGAATGCGAGCCGACCTTTCGAGTTTCCCGCCCCCAGAGGCCTCCAGGAGGCCCCAAGAGGCCCCCAAGTGGCTCCAAGAGGCTCCAAAGAGGCCCCAAAGATGCCTAAGAGAGGTCCGACAAGCTCCACATCGCCCCCGTGGAGGCTTCAAACCTGCTTCCAAAAGGCTCCCCGATAGGCATCCCACGATATCGTTCCAGCGAACATCCGAGAAGCCTCTAATCCACAACCCAGACACGGTGGCGGGATGGGCCGAAGGCACCACGAGGTAAAACATAATGAGTTCCATTCCTATTCGGACTGTGGCGTTGTCTGGCTTCCGCCGCCATGCCCCTTCTTTGAGGCGGAGGAGAAGGAGGATGAGGAGGAGGAGGAGGAGGGGGAGGAGAAGAGGAGGAGAAGAGGAGAAGGAGGAGGGAGAGGATTTGCATTAGGAAGGGGAAGAGGAGTCTGTGCGGTGACGGGGATGCCGAGCATCAGCCGTCAGAAGCGAGGGGCAGGACTGCGGAGGGAGGAGGGCGACTTGAAGGAAGACGAGTGGAGGAGAGAGTCAGTGGCCGCGGGCGGTCGGAGGGGGAAAGAGGGGGGAGGCCCAGGATCATGTCACTGTCGAAGAGGAGGAGAGAGGAGGGAGGAGGAGGAGAAGGAGGAGGAGGAGGAGGAGAAAAGGAGGATGAGGGAGGAGGACAATGAGGAATCAGAGACGGAGGCGGATCAGACTCAGGAAATTTGAACGGTGATGACGAGGAATATCCGTAGAAGAAAGAAATGATGCCAGAGACGAGGAGGAGGGAGAAAGAAGCCCTCACACCAGGAAGGGCACCGCGAATTAGCGAAAGGATCGGGCAACCGAGAACCCACATTGACGTTGCTTCCTTCAAGCAACTTGCTTGGTGATGTGCATGGTGGCGTGCCGTGGGCTGTGCAGCGTGCCGTGCCGAGTACCTTGCTGGTTGCCGCGCTGCACGTCGGAAGAGCCCCCCAAATGCCCGAACAGAGGCGCCCTCTGCCCCAAGAGGCCCCAAGGAGGCCACACGAGACTCCCAGGAGGCCTCCACGACGCCCCAGTAATCCTCCAAAAGGGCTCCAGAAAGACCCGAGAAGCTCCCGAGAAACCCCCACCGAGCTCGCAGTAGGCCTCCACACAGACCCTCAGAAGCCCGCCAGAAGCCCGTCGTCCTCCATGCTCTGGAACAGCCCTTCGGAACACGTGGCCCTGGCTGCACCCCCCGACCCGCCCACCCAATGTCGAGGCCCGAGGGCGCCCCCATGCCTGCAAGACGCTCCGGAAACGCCTCTCCCGCACACGTGGACCAGGGGACAATGATGCTGATCGTCGATGGTCCGTCGTCGTCGTCGTCGGTCGTCGCTGGTACGCTACAGGCCAAAGCCTTCCTTGAATTTCGCAGTGTCTGGCCGAAAATCAGGCATGGGTGAAAGGTGGGTCCCGGGGAACCCAGAAGACCACATGGAAAAGGTCCCATAGAAACTGAGACCGTCTTCGGAGTCGACTAGAACTTAAGCGCGCGCGAAGCGCCCGCGTGGTTCTAGTGCTTATAGGGACATGTGAAGAGGAACATCGGAGGGAAGGTTTACTGCAACATCGTTGATGCGTCTTGGGTTTGCACTCCTCCTCCTCCTCCTCCTCCTCGTCCTCTTCCTCCGCCTCCTCCTCCTCCCCCTCCTCCTCCCTCCTGCACATGGACGCAAGCAGCCCAAGACACCGAAGCATGGACAGCGCTCGAGCACCACTTCACCGACCTCACGTCGACCAGCACCCGGGACTCAGACCAATGACGTACAATCTCAGCGAACGTCGAGACGTCTCGCCCAACCCGCGCCGACACCGACACCAAGGATTTCCTTTCCTCCTCCTCCCCCTCTCCTCCTAACTTTTTAATATGTCTCGCATTGCATGAATCCAGACACCTCAGATCCTAGAGGCCATGGCCTCACCCATCTGGTCTCCTCTAGGCCCGGACGCTGTCCGCAACGCTGGTCGCATCGCATCGCATCGCATTCCTTCCCCCTTCTTTATTCTCCTCCACTCTGCCCCTCCTTCCTCCTTCTCCTCCTTCTCCCTCTTCTCCCTCCTCCTCCTCCTCTTCCTCCTCCGCTTCTTCCTCTTCCTCCTCCCCCCCTCCTCCCCCTCGTCTTCTTCCTTTGTCTTTCCCTCCTCCCCCTCGTCTTCTCCTCCTCCTCCTCCTCCTCCTCCTCCTCCTCCTCCTCCTCCTCCCTCTTCCTCTCGCATCCTTCCTTCTCATCCCCCCGCCTCCTTCGTCCCCTGTCCTCCTCCCGCCTCCCGCGGTTGCGCCTTTCGCCCCGGCGCTTGCCGCGGGGAGGATTGGGTGGGGCGGGGGCAAGGAGGAGCGGGACTACGGAGGATGCAGGTGTGAGTAGGGGGGCGCCCGCCCGCGAAGGCGGCTCCTCCTCGTCCTCCTCCTCCTCGTCCTCCTCCTCCTCCTCTTCCTCCTTCCTCTTCTACCTATGGTAGTGGTGGTAGAAAATCGGCCCATCAGGGATGGGATGGAGGCTGGAGGGGGCGGGGGGCGGATGGGGGGGGAGGGAGAGGCGGGTGATGCAGCGGGAGGAGGGCGTCGGGGGAGACGATGTATGGGGAGGGAGCGGAGGGAGGGGGAAGGATTTTTGGATTGCGACTCTGATGAAGCTCTACGCTTGCCAGAAGAGTGCGGCACTCAACTAACTGCAGGCGGTACTGGCATCTAGAGACAGACAACAGCGCGCACAAGCAGTACGGGCGCCAAGGATGTGTGAGATCCAGGTCCCTCCAAATCCCCATGCTGCTCCACCACCATTCCACAAGGACTCGTGTTACGGCGCAGCAAGTCGCCTACGCACTGGCAGGGATGGCGAGGGAGGAGGAGGAAGGAGGGAGGAGCTATGAACCGAGAGGAGAGAATGAGACTGGGACGCAGATCCAAAACTTCCAGCTCGGCAGGAGAGCACTTCCGGAGAGGGAGAGTCGCGAGAAGTTTGCCTGACCACTCCGGCCCGTCTGCTCACCTATAAGGCAGCGCTGCACACGGAACGTACAACAACAGTTCGTCTTTCCTGAGAGGGGAAAGGAAAATCTTCGCGCATCGCCCCCCGGAGCGAGCGACAAGACGGCGGCGGAAAACAGCGCGATTATTTTCACGCTAGTCCGAGGAAGGGCGCGGGATGGCCGACATCGCCAACAACAGAAGCACTTCAACGGTCAACGACCCTCGGTCCTCCATCCTACCCCCACCTCCACATCAAGCAGCTTGGCCGGCATCGGCTCAAGTCGTCTACCGTGGCTTGGGCACTCGGCCGCCCGGGAAGGTGAGGGAGGGATGGAGGATCATGTAAACCTTGAGAGGGAGGGGGAAGGCTGGGACGCAGACCGAAAACCTCCTGCTCTCGTGACAACCGTCCCGTCCGGGCTCGACGGCTGGAGGAGTACGGATGATTCAGAGGCCCACGCGAGACCTGACCCACGGGAGCTTGGGGGGGAGCCGGGGAAGCAGGAGCGAAGGGGCGGCGCACATCAGGACAATAATCATGACCAGGATGCACGGGCACATCGCGACATTCACGGCA